AATTGTTTGTTGCTCACGGTAGTTGAAGGACTGTGCTAGACCTTCGAATCGTTCCTTGAACTTTTCCTCATCCGCGTGTTTGACAGATTTGTTCTTTTCGACTTGCATTTAATTTGTCAACAAGCTTATTGTGATGAAGCTTCGCCCGGATACAAATTTCCTTAGTATCAATACCAATTTGGTGAGACGCGATGTCCACCAAGTTCTTCTGTCCACCAAGTCCTTCTGTCCACCAAGTCCGTCTGTCCACCAAGTTCTTCTGTCCACCAAGTCCGTCTGTCCACCAAGTCCTGTCCACCAAGTCCTGTCCACCAAGTCCTGTCCACCAAGTCCTTCTGTCCACCAAGTCCTTCTGTCCACCAAGTCCTCCTGTCCACCAAGTCCTTCTAGTCTTGTCCATCAGCCTCGTCCCTGAGGCGGACGCACGTCTTGTCCACCAGCCTCGTCCCTGAGGCGGACGCACGTCTTGTCCATCAGCCTCGTCCCTGAGGCGGACGCACGTCGTGTCCACCAGCCTCGCCCCTGAGGCGGACGTGGCCACGACGGTGGTCAGCTCAAGGTCACGCGTAGCCTCCAGAGTTTCTGGAAAGCTGCTCCATTAAACCTTAAACTTAATTTTTATTCATTATTTATTACTCCATTTCCACACAGCTCTATTATTAATTGATTTGCTAACGCTTTATTGTACGGTTTGAGTTGGAAATGATAAAGTTGTCGGAATAAACATACCACTAATATAATTTAATTTTGACTTAACGCTATGCAAGTTTAAAAGCGCATGCAATAAACTCTTGATATTATGCATACGTTTATGTCTGCCAAATTCGGAATAATCACAAAGCTTCAAAGCCTCTAGCGTCTTACTGCGATAAACTGTTTGATAACTCGAGAACGCGCCTACACTGTAATTTCTGCCAGCATGCAATAGCCTTATGCGTTTACTTAAATTTGTATTTAAAGCGTTCCATACTAAAATCGGGGAGATGTAAATAAAGCGTGGAATCTAAACGTAATGCCGCAAGATTCAAATAAAGCATCGAATTACATGCAAAATCTCTGGACGATAGTGGAGGAGTAAATAAAGCGTGGAATCCAAACTAAATGCTGCAAGATTAAAAAAAAAGCATCTAATTCCAATCTGGACGAATGTGGCCGCGATTGATAAGTATGTGGGAGACTTGTGAATGTGGAGATTCGATGACTTCATATCATAATGGGATCAAACTTGCACTTGTGTCTCAGGGACATTCGTGCACTTTGAAATACCAATTTATTAGTTATCGAATCTTAAAATGCGAATGGTATCTTAAATGCGAATGGTATTTTTTTAAACATTGTTGTTATAGCAAGAATGGGATTATAACCCGAACGTCTGTTCATTATCTGGGTGTGCGGACACGCTGTTCCGAGCATTGTGTAGTTAGATGCTTTTTTAAGGAACCTTTTCACGTCTATTAACATGTCTCAGATGGAATGTCTCGCTTAAAAAAAAATCTCACTATGCTGAGTATCGATAATAACGTTATATTTTTTATCATTCAAGAACTCTTAATAATAGAACGCTAGAAAAATGAACACGACTATTTAAGTTTGCTATAAAAGACTGTGTATTTCGGAGAGTATATTAGGTTCCGTCGTTGCTCAAACTACGTCATATAACTTACACGTTTCTAAATAAATACATTCTTCAAACCGTACTTGTTATTAATAATGCTGGTGAAAGAATGGTCTATATTTCCTGACCAGCTTCATTCTTGCCTTAAAACCTGTTTTGGCCTGTTTTTTTAAGCCTATTTAATGATGACGCACTCAGACCTATACAGGCCTAGCCTAGCCTGACGCAACTCCACAAAATGTACGAGTCAGATTGTCCTAACAATGACGCACTTTCATAACCACAGAGAACAGACGTAGCACTGATACGCCCTGGTACCGGGCCAAACTGTCAGGATGACCCACACAAGGCAAAAGTGCATCGCTGTTTGGACAAAGTCTCGGTAATTTTTCTGTATAGACGCTTCATCGTGTGTCCATGCATTACTTCAATACTCAATAGGAAATTATTAAATCAATTGAAGTTCCTGGCTCATGGTTATTTCCTGGATTGAATATATTATTACGTCGTAGGCTTCAATAGCAATTTAAGAAGGACTATTTTATTCTTTAATTAAGATGCACGCCGTGTTTGGCGAGCGCACCTGCATCATAAAACATTTCATAACTAGTCATTTTGAACACTTCCTGTTGTTGCTTTTCGAACCATAATAAAGATAATTCTCTTATTTATGATTATCTTATTAATAAATGATTTTTTAAGTTTGATAAATTTTTCACTTACGTTTGCATGGGGCACGTGATCTTGGTCATATTGCCGTTGACGTGAGACCGATCAGCGGCAGACTTGGATGCTAGACTAAAAGAAATTTGTGGGATTTATCCCATGTGCGATAAACTTCTTACAGGTCATCCTTACCCAATAGGGCTCGTTCTAAATGCGCATAAGTACTACGTGCATATAGCATGTCATTTTTTGGACAATATTACGCGTTCAATTTTTGTGAGTGACTGGTGCGGTGTCGTATAAGGTGTGCGTTTGCTGGCACTTTCACCGACGGCCGCCACAGCAGCGGACAGAGCCTCCTCCTTTCCGTAGCGCACGCATTGTCGGTGGCAAGCAGCACCACGTTTTATCTTGTGTAACATGCAGCAAATAATCTAGGATTTTGACGCATCATTTGGACAACCCGTTATGACATCATCGCCAAACACTTGCGTGAGTGCCGCCTATTGTACTCGCAAATAATCTACCATAACTTTCTGGCAAAATGAATGACGCTGAATATTTTATTGCTTGTGAAATTATTCGACATTTTCGTTTCAAGTTGAAATTGAGAGCAGTAACACTGTATGCATTGCAGATATACTCGTATGTTCACCTAAATATCAGTTCTACAGAACACGCGAGGTGAACTCGCAAAACGGAAGCGACTCCCGGGAGTTCAGATGTCGATTGTGTTACGATGTAGCAAGAACCGCGACGATAGAATGCAGGAAGCCCGCTATACGTTCCTCTTTTTTTGTTCCCATTCAATCGACGCGTTCGTGACGCGTTCATTCAATCGACGCGTTCGCGTCTGCACGCGTTCATGGTACGCGTTTGATGATTGCGGTGGCTCCAGTTCTCGTTCTTGCTTCGCGTAAAGTTTTACATTTATATTAGTAATTTAAATTTTGTATTATTTTGTTAGACTGTCTAGTATCTTGATCTATTTTTTGGATAGTAGCACCAATTTTAAAATCGTTTCCTCATTTGGATTTGTATATTCACTGAGTAATTCTCAGCTTCCGTATACCATTTTTATTATTGTTCCATTATAAATTTAGTACAAATCACGCTCGGATTTTTTCCGGCTCAATAATTGCGCAGTCAACGGCGCTAACGGAAGCTCCTTCATCTCGCGGTTCTTGAACTTCGATTCCTCTTAGAGAAGCGTTGCCCTCTCTCCTACCTTCTCAACCAACCGCTGCATAAAGTAAATCACATTCCCTCTTGAAGTTACATTACCGTGATCAATACAAGAGTCGCCACTCAGGAGATACTGCACTTCACTGTTAGAAAAAAACGGTCCCACTGGCGTTCTAGTGGCCGGTCGCCCCGTAAAAATAAACTGTTTCGCCGTTTTTGTCAAATGTTGTACGGATTTCTAGTGTTAAATTAGAATAAAAACGGCGACACGGTGTTTCTTTTCATGTACCGACCGGCCACTGAAAAGCCGGTAATACCGTTAACGGTGATTTTTCTAACATTGTTGACTCGCCGCTTGTCAATAAAAGTATAAAACCGTATAATGCTGGTCAGCATTAAGATTTGTAATGTTCGATTGCCATATTATTATTAAATACAGAGCTGTTTCGATCTTGCTATGAAGTTGTGGTTAAGCTTTGTTCGTAAAATAAATTGTTTCTATTGAAGCCTGGCGACATAAACATATGTTACGCCATTTACGTCAGTTAATCACCAACAAAAAAGTAGGCTACTGATTTTCGCAAGGTTCACGGCCCATCAGGCATCAGACGTTAAAATAACGTTCAATAACCGTTATATAAAGAAGATTAACTCATTATCAACGTTTTTTTCAATGTCAATGCCTCCATGGATTTATTCATATATAGCGGTTAAGTCGACCATCTAAACGCGGGACACGGAGTCAACATGCGACGTGGATGCGAAACGAGCATCACCGGCCGTGGCTGACTAGCGAGTGCCGAGTGCTGCGTCGAGTGCCGAGTGCTGCGTCGAGTGCTGAGTGCTGCGTCGGGTGCCGAGTGCTGCGTCGAGTGCTGAGTGCTGCGTCGAGTGCCGAGTGCTGCGTCGAGTGCTGAGTGCTGCGTCGAGTGCTGAGTGCTGCGTCGAGTGCTGGCGCTGCTGCTGGTACATCAAAAATGCTGTGCAGCGCGCTATGCTGCACAAGTGTTTTGTTTCAATGCTGACTCTGTTCTACCACCGTTCCTGTTGCTCGTTCCTATTGCTTATCCAGTTCAGCTTTTGCCGAGTCTATTTCTGCTGTTTCTTGTCCTTCATTTTTTTTACTGGGATTGTCCGCTCCTATTGCTGCTGTTGCTGATGCTGTTGCTATTCCAATTCTTACTGGTTTAATGCAGTTCCTGATGTTAGGGTTTAACCCGCAACGATTTTACTTATTATTTTTTGTTTCAAGAAGCTTCATTTTTTGTTAGATTATTTATCGAATGATTGTGCGGTATGGAGATCAGGTTATGTTGCTGTTGAGTGCTCTCGCAGCACTGTTTATGGTGCTGCAGCTGTTATTAAATATATTTTTGATGACAGTAAATATACGTAATTTTTCATATATATGAAAAATTTGATCGAGTTTGTAGTTTTTCTGGATGTTCATCTGTATTGATTTGTTGATAAATTTCCCGCTACTATCTTGTTTTGTCATGAATATTTATTAGTTATTTTTCTGTTCTATTTTCAGCAAAGGCAGCGATGACAGCCATGGGCAAATCGACAAAGATAAAGTGAGTATTTAGATACATTTACTGATGAAAATTGAATGTTCACTTGCCGGCAATCAGCCATGCGTTTTGTACATTTGCTGCGTAATTGACGTGTCAGAAACTTATTCAATTGACCCAAGAATACGTGCCCAATGAAAAATTAGGTGTCCATTGTGAATCACTGATGCTTATGAATAATTAATATAGTGATTATACTGATCAATTGATAATTTATCAATTGAATGGTGTTACGATGACTTCTTTCTGGCTTGGAGCATCGAATGTTGATGTAAGCAAAATTGTAGATTTTTAATGTACGATATAACTACAGTGGGGGGAAATAAATATTCGTACACTTGAAAAATCGTATTTTAATGTATGTACATTGTTTTTTGTTGCATTGAGATTTAATTTCTTTTGATAGTATTTTTGAATACTATGCGTCTCTATACATAATTTAAATCACTTTTCCTGTTGAGTTTGTGTACTTACATACATTAAAATACGATTTTTCAAGTGTGCGAATATTTATTTCCCCCCACTGTATGTTCTTCACCGCTCTTGGTATTAAAGAATTACGTTGTGTGGCAAAGAACTACTGTAATAGTTGAAATATATAATTAATGAAATAGCTGCATAACGAAAGTGTTGGTGTTGAATGTAGCCTTTTTACTTGTTTAGAAAAAATGAAGGTTATGATATAATGTAAACGCTCAAATTTAATTTGTGGTTTAATCTATGTTAGATGTTTATAGAAGGATAGTTAAAGTTTAAGGCTAACGGAAAGGAAAGATGAGGATAAAAGCAAGACTGAAGGTTAAATGAACTGTAGTTAAAAATTGGCCCAAAGCTAAAATAGGCCATGCATTAGAGAGTAATAAAATAGTTAATGAGTAATAATGTTATCATCACTGAAAACATTGATATTAGCAAATGGCAGTTGAAAACTTTGACTATTATAATTATTTTGAAAGTAATTGGTAAATTTATAATAATAAGACGTAATAACAGGAAAAATTTAAAAGTATTTAGAGTTGGAAGCGCACCGAAAGTCTGAACTAAAGCCTATACGTTATAAATCACAATTCAGAGCTGACAATATTTTACTAACAGAGCTCGGTGCCTGCGCCCCCCCGAGAGGAGCGGTCTGCCCCCGAGGGTACGAGCAGCCCCACCCCCCGCCCCCAGGAAGCTGCCCCCCAGCACCCAGAGGGCTACCTCACCCAGGCACAGGTCAGGGGGCTACCCGCCCGCGTGACTCTATATCTTGCAGGCAAATGACGTTGAAACTACGTTGATTACGCGTTCAGAAGTGATGTGTTATCAACGTTATTTCTACGTCAAATGTCTGAAGTGAGGCAGCAGCCCTTCAGACAAATGACGTTGAAAGAACGTATTGAGAAGTGACGTTTTATCGACGTTATTTCTGCGTCAAATGCCTGAAGCTAGGCAGTAGCCCTTCAGACAAATGACGTTGAAACAACGTTGATTAGGCTTGAATTTCGTTGAAACAACATAAAATCAACGTTATGTCGACTTCATATGTCTGGTGGGTTATAACCACAATACGCTCGTGTCATATTCCATATTTACAGTTTCTGAAATCCTCAATGAGGAGCTGGACAATTTGATTATGATTGAAGTCCGTTTCACTTACCTTTACGTTAACAGTAAATCTTGGTTTAATTTGATCATTAACTTAACTTTTTTGTATCACTCTCATCAGATAAATTTTTTCGTAGTTTTTTTTTAATAGTGCCACGTTCTTCTCAAGCTTCAATCTTTTTTTCCTCTTTAATTTAATTAATTTTAATTAAATTATTTAATTTGAGTTTCAATCGAAAAGTTGAGTTTTTTCATAGAACCTTTGTACTTGTATGTTCTTAATCTCAAACTTCAGATAATGCGTAAGCTGCTTATTTATTATCTTTTTTATCTCCAGCTTCAGGTATAATACGTAAGCTACTTAAGTAATACCTGAAGTAGTAACTACCCGTACTACTTTAGATATTTTAGTAACTACCATTGCTAAATCTTGCGTAGCCTCACATTATTGCAACATTCGCAAGTTTTAAATAATTCCTTCAATATTATCCAAGACATCATTTGCTCCTAATTGTTCTTTCTGGGCCTTCATATAAATTAGTTCAAGTCATTGCATGCGTGCATTGCTCTAGTTCAAGTCAATTAGCATACTTGCATTGCTCAATGCTCACGATGAAGTCTGCTCAATATGTCAGCCCCATTTATACTGTGTCGTTTTGAGCATCAATTAAACTTTTTATTTTACTTAACGTATTCCTTGATATTTTTATTTCATGTGCTATTCACTACTTTTGTTCATTAAATTTCAGTTCAAGTTAGCGTCATAATCTTGCTGGCAAATATTCAAGATTTCACTTATATATGCAGAATTAAATCAAGATTCATAATTCTCAATTATAATTATTGCTGGTGGTCTAGGCTTTCTATTGTTACGACAAATTTTCTAGCATGGCGAGCATTTCCTGGTTTTGATCTTTTTTCAGTTCTCAAAATCTTTATAAATTTGTTCACTCCTATATATTACCGCGCTTCTGCCTATCGCGGCTCACCTGTCCCACGTAGTGAAGTTATTTTAAATTGAATTGAGTAAAACAAGCTTGGCAATTGAAAAAAGCTGGTAGATTTTCAGTGAAAACTATTCGCAACCATGCCTCAACAGGCATCAAGTATTAGCTTACAATAGATGTTCAAATTTTCATTTTCATTATTAAGCTTTTCCTTCTTTAGCTTTGCTAACCTCCAATCTCTTATCCTTTTGAGTAAACCACATTTGTTCAAGCTCGAAAATTTATCGTACAGTTCGAAGTATATTTTTTTTATTCTCAATCACGGCCCCCTGCACCGCGCACTTTTACCCTAAGTTTACCGCCGCGCAATTCTAGGGTAATTCTGAGCACTAAAGTCTTGCCTTTGCCTCCCCCTGCCGTGCCGCCTCTAGGCCGACCCTAACTTGAACAAGCGGGTGAGTTCACGCTGCCCGCTCCTTATAAGTCCTTGGTTACATCTGCCTTTGCTTGGTGCATTATTGATATTTTTATTTTAATTGCGTCAGGCTTCTGAAAATTTGTATCGAATTACGTCAAAGCTCTTTAAATTATGATTTAGTTGCGTATAACTTTTTGGAATTCTTTAATTTGTTCAGAATTTGGTCAGTTTGCCAGTATTGAAATTATTTTAAATTTTTTCTTGCAATTATAATTTAATTGAATCAAAAATTCTTGACAAAATCATTTATTGTCTTAAATTATGTGACTTGGTTCCGTTTATGGTCTGTCGAGATTATAAAATTTCTCAGGGAAAATATACATTGCTTCTGCTTGGTCAGGATTTGTTGAGCCCATTAAATTTCTTTTATACGAAAGCTTCCTGCATTCCTTGGCTATTTACATCATTGGCATATTGTTATGCGTGAAAGTTACGTGCTACCTGAAACAACTCGTTTCGCAGATTTTGAATTTTGAAGTTGCATTGCTGTCGCTTCGTGCCAAGTTTTAGTTATTTCAGTTCTGCGTAAAAATGCGTGCTCTCTTTTTTCCATTTGTGTAGCCTGAATATTTCTCATTTTAATTTTTTTTTTGTCTCGAGCTGTATCGTTTTTAAATGACCATAATTTTCAATAAAGCCTTATTTTTCTATCGTATAAATATTATCTACATGAGCCGTTCGTGAGCTGTATTTTCAACCTAATCGTCTCTGTAACGCTAACTTGATGTAAAACTTTCATTCAACAATTGACATTCTGAGTTAATGCACAAAAAATAATTCAATAAAGTTAACATTTTCAACCGTATTTTCCATTGCATCTGGAGGCAAATTTGTCGATCATCCATTTGCATTCTTAGAAAAGAGCGTGTAATAAAAGCATATGTTTGAAATATTATGTTATTCTTACTTACAGCCGTTATTAATTTCTATTGTTAAGTTACTCAATTTTTGAAGCATTAACCACTTGAAATATCGTTAATTCCGTGCATTTCTCTTGCGACTCCGGACGGGTGTTCAGAACTAATACTTGCACTTCCGTTTAGAATATACGTTTTACTGATAACTCGACACTAGCTTTATACTAATTTCATAATTAAAACTACTTGCACCACTATTTTTAGGACGTTTTTGCTGAATCCTCGAAATTATTTCGATCACACTCCGCTGCACTAAACATAATAATTCCCACATATTTTCCTCTTAATTTAATATTTTACTCGTTGGCATCAGGTTGACGCGTTGCTCAAGCGCCAAGAAGCTCAGTTCGAGGACCGCCTGCAGCGTATGAGCCTCTGTACGAGCGAGAAGGAACAGCATTTGCACGTCAAGATGAAGGAGGAACAAAAGGAACTTGCCGAGCTGCGAGCTGCTGTCGTCGAGGTTACACAATCCAGGGAAGCTCTCCTCAAGATGCTCGAACAATACAAGGAAATGCTGGCAGCTGTAGTTAAAGGCAAGAGCACCATGGATAAAGATACTGAGCAGAAAATCAAAGATCTCGAGGCTCAGAAGCAACAAGCTCTTGAGGATCTCACTAACGTCGAGGCTGCATTCTCCGACGTCCACAGGTAGGAGGGAAATGTCCACGTGGTAATAGTGTTGTGTTTTAATAAGATTCATTATGAACAGGAGCTGTACTTTCGACGACGATCAAAATGTTGTATTTTTGTCGTATCTGAGTATGTACTATGTTTATCTTAAGTTTGCTTGTTCTCGACGAGGCCATTTCTTACTACGCGCTTTCTTACTCTTTGATTTTCTGAGCTAGAATTTTCTGGTTCCAATCAGAACAAGATAATATAGCATGAAACACCTCATATAATATTCAATTATTGGCTTTCTTCTTAAAGAAAATACGAGCGGACGAAGCAAGTTGTGGAGACGTTGAGGCGGAATGAGGAGAGCTTGAAGGGCGCCGTGTCGGACTACGAAGCCAAACTCAAGAGGCAGGAAACAAACCTTATCTCCTTCCAGCAGCACGCAGAGGAGAAGATGCAGCAGTGAGTTGTTACTATCTGAAGTCGCTTAACCCTCTCGTAACTGTCGGGACTTCTCGGTCCCAAGCCACTAGGTACAAATAGCATTGACGACGGTAAATGTAACCGAGACCAAAGGGTAAGTTCAGGTAGCGCTCTATGTACACTACGCGACTCAAGGCAAGTAGAGACCCAAGGACACGTAGCGATCTAAGTACATGTAGCGGCCTAAGTTCTCGTAGCGAGACACTACTTCACATAGCGGTCTAAGTACACGTTGCGGCCAAGATCACGTAGCAAGCCAAGTACACCTAGCGACCTAGGTACATGTAACGACCCAGGTACACGTAGCGGCCCAAGTACACCTAGCGGCTGATTTCTCGTCCGTGATTAGTGGGTTTAGCATGAATAGGCGTCAGTGATTGACTGACGTACTTGCGAACTCACAAATTAAAGGCCATTGGCTTTTAATATCATTGAAACATTAATTATGCCCAGATGGGTCCATGCCGCTGATATCTACACGCCCATGTTTTCCATCAGAATAAACGTATTTCCGGATTTCCTGGCTATGACAATTGACGTATTTGCAGTTACATTTTCTTTCATTTCTAATTGCTCTAATCAGTCAAATCTTCTATCCTCCTTAGTAAATATCGCTTACACTTCTGGAAAGGGCTTAAATTTTGCCCTTCCTCAGAAAAATGATCAATTACGTAATTCTAGGCGGTAATTTGTTGCATTTTACAGAGCGAGTGACGAGTACGACAAACTGAAGAAGAACACCGACCAAGAGCTGACCAAGATGGGCGCGTTGCTGAAGAAGGCCGAGATGAAGATCATCTCCTTGCAAGAGCAGCTCGACCGCAAGTCCCGCGACAACCAAGAGCTCACGAGTTTACTTGACGAGCTCATAGCTAAAATGGGCCCGTCTAAATGAGAACAGGAAGCCGCTGCTGCAGCGGCCTCGAAGATACCCGTCTGGAAGCGCAAAAGTTACCCTACATAAGACCGTAGCACCCATATGGACGCTAAGAAATTACCTTTCAAAAGAATTGAGTACCCGCTTATTTGCGCCAAAGTCACCCTGCATTCGTCGAAAAAGCCCATCAGTCATATGAAAATTACATGACATTATTTATACAAAGCCCTAAACAAACGGAGAATGTGAGCTAGATTTCCATTAATGTGATCGTATAGTAGCAGGTTTATGGGAGAGAGATGCGTTAAAATGAATACGTTGAAGATTGCATAGCATTGAAATGAAAATATGCTGAACTGTATCATTTTAAATTTGACAATATTTCCATAAATAAAGACGAAACCCATCGTCGGATGCTTCATATTTGATATCGCAAAGTTCTCGAATTAGTCATTTTTTACAAGTTAGTACACTTTTTCCCGCTGAAATAACAAGGTGATTCTAAGTGCATCTACTCTGATAATTCCGCAAACTTGAAAACCAATCTGAGATAAGAAGATTATTTTCTGGAACGTAATTTCTGTAAACGGATTCCGTATTGGACATCGTTTAACCGACAAGCTGTACAAGTGCTGCTGTGCTGAACTCAATGAGCGCAACATTCTTATCTCTTGCACTTGATTGCTAGCTTGAGAACGTGATATATATCAAAATTCCTCTTTTGAGACGCAACAAGCGTTAAGAAATCCTCTGCGAAACGAAAGAATGACTAAAACTTTGCTTAATGTTAACTGCAGGAAGTTATCTGACAAAACATTTTATTCGTGATCTGCATTGCTTTCCATTAGCTCTTAGTACGCATCATGGAGGAAAGCTGATATATAATGAAAATTTGTTCATATTGTATGATTGGCGCAACGGCAATGAAGAGACACTATTGCATTGTATCACATTATAATGACAGGTTGAGTTGGAGGTTTTATGTTTTTTTTCTGTACACTTGAACTTTAACTGACCTGATATTTTGTTCCCATATACCTGAAGATATAAAGCAGTCTGGTTATGTGGATACATCCTAAATTTTAAGCTACATTTATTGAAAGTTCGTAAAAATTCTCGCCACTGAACAGTGAAAATGAAACGTCAAAATCTGGTTGGTGATCTCGGATTTCTTCCTTCTCGGTTTTTATGTATGAACGGCAATTGCGGACTTGCGATTAATTTTGATCTAATTTCATTCCATGAATGAGGTTTTTTACGTATACCAGACGCTGTCCTCGAGTTATTTCTTCTATAAACGTGTAGATAATCGTCACGCTGTTATGCAAGTCGCATAAATCGGCCTGGAATCGTGAAATTTTCTAGAATATAATAGATACGTCATTGTATATCATGTATGCATGTTCATTTATTTTTCTATAGTGTTGTGATAGTGATGTATCTACGTGCAAATTATGTATATTAATGCTTTTGATGTTGTTATATTATGCATCTAATATCGACGTAGACGTAAGTGTAAATACCGTTAACTTCTCACTCTCGCTGCAGCTTTTTTTTATGCTTCTATTCCGGAATGGACAGTTCCCGCCGTCTTCATAACGCGCATTGATCCTGGTGTAATGCAATGACAAAACGTTGAAAAAACATTAATATGTGACACGTAAAAGATTATTAAGGGCTACAGAAATCGCGACAAGGCAGACTAAATAAACCACTTGTAGCTCCAGCGCATGCTCTGCTCTATCTAACGGGACGCGTTCAGTGGAAACGAAATGGCATAATTGCAAATTATTCCTGAACTATTGACTACACTGATTTTACTTGATGGATCAAATCTAATTATTTTTATAAACCGCACACATTCCTTGCTCATTCAAGTATCCGCCGTCCTTAAGATTTTCTTCATAAATTTTTATGAAATTATTCATTTCTATCATTGATTTTTTCCTAGAATGTCCATGTTATTCATCTGTATTTTACAAAACTTGTAAAACTGTCCGAAGTGCCTGTGAGGAGAATTCGTGGTCTTCAGCCGTATGTTCCATACCTTTATTCTGTAAAAATCTATTGTAAGATGCACCATTGATCTTGTATAATCAATATTGACGCCAGTCATCATGCATGAAATACCATGATATTGTAAAAATGCGTCATTTATCATGTAAACTTACCATGATATTGACATGATATTGGTGACAATTATTCTATGGTATGATATTCATACCAACAAATCCCATCACGATATTGTTGGACGCGCTTGTGAGATCTTTCTTCTTACGTATCTTGTCCTCTGCGTACGAAGATTGTGATGAACTTGTCACTATATTTACTTCATGTCTGACTTCAACGTCTAATCAAACCAACTTCTTGAAATCAATTATTCGGTAAAAAATATTTTGACTATTCTTCATACCTTCTGACTCCTTATTTTTTATTTTCTTTGACGTTTGAGGAAGAAAGATATCTTCCAGAATACGAAGAGTTAATTATTTTCCTGCCTGATGATCAACACATTCATTTGTGTTTATCTAACTTGTATGTTATAAAGTCATTTTAAAATGCTCTTCTTCTAACTCCATTTCTTCTTTTCAATTTCCTTTCCTGTATTCATCATAACATTTCATGCACTGATATGACAAACTCGGTAAATGTTGAGTTAAATAAAAATTAATATGCCAGTATTTCTCGTGAGGTTGTGAAGCTTTTTTTCCTTCTATCAGACTTGACCTGGATCGTTGTACTCTACATACCTACATTGACTACATTTCCCAATAAAGTAATGCTGGTACATCGCTTTTGTTGATTATTTCCATGTTCCGATGATCGTTCATGCTATGTTCGAATCCTAATGAAGTCCTAGAACGCAATAAACTTGAAGAAGCATTTTATCCACGCACCTTGATCAAGAAATTTTATCCACGCATAATGATCAAGTCAAGCGTTGAGGTCAAGCTCCTCTCTTTATTTAGTACTAAGGAGAATAATTTCGACGTTCCTGCTAAATATTTACGTACTTATAAAAAATGTTCGTTTGTCATTAGATTGAACTACACGTTTTAGCTGAAGAGGAATCTGACAGAAAAGAACTTGAAATGCTCGTTTATTGTGGACGCGAGAAATTCTCAAGGTCTTGTGTCGTAGTTTCATAATTCTAATTTTTATCCGGGATAAAATTGCAAGCTTTGTGTGGTAGACAGATCTTGGAGCCTTGTCGATAATGCTGTTAAATGACTAAAGCTGCCTAGAATGTAGGCGAATTCAAAACTTTCATTTTCCAAAAGTAGAAACTGGGTTGGACGAAATGGAAGTGAAGCGATGTGGTGCGCGTGCAACGAACATTGTATGAGAGCAATATTGATTCTTTTTAGTCTCCTATTTTGGGGTCATCCGTAGGCGAGATAGCATAATTTTATCAACATACGATGATGATTTAATCGTTAATCATCAATTTGATGAATTCACGCAATGACGCTCGTGTATGACCGTACTTAAAGTTTGATTACGCCGTGTGGTTACGGAAATGTGAAAAGTGCAAAAATTGAGTTGAAAACGTTCATAGACGTGTAACATTCAAGGCTTAGAGGGCAAGCCTCATGAAGAAAGATTAGGGATTATGAAGCTTCCATATTTTTTTTTATCGACGCATACGCGGCGAATGTTTAGGTTTATTCTAGAAGATTTTAGAAGGTTTATTAGAATATGAAACGAAAACCAGCACCACGGGCCACATCTATAAACTAGAAAAGCCACAGTGCTCCCAAGAAACAATACTTCTCGCTTCCCATCACCGACATGTACAACAAACTCTGCTTGCATTGTTGGCGCTCCCAGGTTTAAATGCGTTGAAGAAGAGACTAAACGAAGCTTTGCAGGAACATAGATTTTTTGACCGATTCGACACTTCAGCGAACTCGCGTGCGAACTCGCCTGCGAGCTCGAATGAAACAATAAGACAATTCACGAACATTATTTAGAATTGGCGACAGGCCAAACCGGCCTTTTCCTCAACGCCGATATTACCTTGTCATGTTATGATACAACAGTGAATAAATTTCGCGGAAGAATTGAGCAAAACTTGTCATTAACCATTCATTTTGTTTTTATTTTTAAATTATGTCAATGTTTTGTATTGCCTACAAATATTGTGTATTTACGCTGAATTAGTTCGAATTGAACCTATAACAACACAACATACCATAAAAAATCGTGGTAGGACACAAACAAAAACATATTTATTGATCAATGATCACTTTAGTTCCAAAAATATATAGAATTTTCTCTAAATTACTATAGATATCACGAAGAAGAAACAAAATCTGACGCTGTAGTCATAGCAACCGGTTTTCTTGTTATGATTTGAAAAGCTGAAATCATAAACAGGTTGCTATGACTACAGCGCAAGATTATGTCGTAAAGGATTCCTTTTTTTTCAAACACATCAACCTGTTATTAATTAGCTCCATTTTCATTTTTATGCCCTCATATTTTCATGTTTTGATTTTACTCCAGTTATGAGTCACTACTTAATGAGTACTTATGATTGGCTTTTCTCTAGAATTTGTTTATGTTAATGTCTTAATGATATGTTCCAGTTCAGACAGTCAAGCTCAGACCTAGAAACTTAAAAGAAGAATTAGGAGATGCTAGCCTATAATAATGCAGTAATTAGTGCCATTTAGTGGTCACCAAGCATATTATGTCTTGTTCTGTTGTTCAGCCAAGATGATCAAGCTGCAAAAACTGACAGATACAAAAGCCACTAAGCAGAGGCAGAGACTGCAGAGTGGAACAGTGGTTTCAGTTCAGAATTCAGACTTCAGAGTACCAAGATAATAAAAAGCAAGATTGGAGCACAGTCTTATCAGTCTAGACTCTAGTCTCTAGAGGTGCATGTTTGATCACAGCTCCGTGGCATGATGGCATGATGGCCCATGCAATAGTGCACCATTTGCTGGTGAGAATTGGTTTGGAAGCCAAGTGATTAACCAAAGCATAATTGGAGCAGTGAGTTCCTGGTAGTCCAGGGTGCAGAGGGGGGAAGCAGCATAGCCAATTATGCCAATATATGGGTTTTTAAGCCCAAAGCGTCGCCTGCCAGGTAATTTTTAATGAAAAGCCATTTACACTGAGTAATGAAAAACTATTTACAAGCCACGAACTTACATACAAGGTTGCATGCACGTGTTATCCCAAATCATAGTGGCAAAGCAAAGATTTTTTAGAATCAGTTCATTTCTAATTTTGTTATCTCAATATTTTAATTAATTTCTTATGTATGAAAATGCTGGTATCCAAGATACTTTCCTGGTCTACTTATAGGACTCAAAAATGAACTTGGCGAAGAGTCTAAAAAAACTGCTGCTTTGCCACTATGTCCCAAATAACTAATTTTACCCTAAAAACAGTCTGATTATGTAGCAACTGTCAAATTAACATGTGATAATGCAGTCTGAGTCTGACCGCTCTAATGTGACTGCAACTACACAATCGTAAACTTGTTGTTTACATTTGCGTAGGATATTTTGGCGGGAATTCATCGCAACTGATTTCCGGACAAGCTTCACTGCATCCTGATCTATCCAACATACCAGAAACCTTACTTTTTTCTAAATAGTTGGCCGAATACTGACAAATATATTAAATGCAAGAATTTTAATCTAAATGTGTCGGCAAGATCTTCTGAAGGCGTAAATTTTGCTACTGAAGCGTGGCCAAAGATCTTGCAATATTCATCCACTCTCTGCACAGTGGCTGGTAGTGGTACGGTACAGTTGGCACGACGGTACCTAGTGCGGGAGACCACAGCAAGCTGTGAATGTTCTACATAGTCCCAAACCAGAGATTTTTTAGAATCAATTCATTCTTTATTTCATCTGCTACTTAACATTTTAACACGTTCCCCGCGTATCCAGATTTCCCCAGTATTCCCTTATCGCGGAAGGCTTTCAGTGGTTGCTGCTTCAGTTAGGCGCCATTGGCTGTGACAATAGGAGGTGTGTGCTGCTCCGCGGCATCAAAGCTTTGCATAGCTGCAATAAAAATATTGGGACACATGTGGTGCATTACGCAAGCAAATAATATCCACATGTTGTTCTTGCGTATTGTAGCACCGGTGTACCAAGTATTTATTAAGCCTTATATGTACCATAATAGAATAGAAGGGAATAGAACGGAATAGAAGGGAATAGAAGGGAACAGAAGGGAACAGAAGCGAATAGAAGGGAACAGAAGGGAATAGAAGGGAACAGAAGGGAATAGAAGGGAACAGAAGGGAATAGAAGGGAACAGAAGGGAATAGAAGAGAATAGGAGGGAATAGAAGGGAATAGAAGGGAACAGAAGGGAACAGAAGGGAACAGAAGGGAATAGAAGGGAATAGAAGGGAATAGAAGGGAACAGAAGGGAATAGAAGGGAACAGAAGGGAACCAAAGGGAACAGAAGGGAATAGAAGAGAATAGAAGGGAACAGAAGGGAATACAAGGGAATAGAAGGGAATTATTAGTTAGAATTATTACAGTTACTTATCATTTGTTCAAGTAGATTCTAAGATTTACGAATAAAATTTTGGTTCATTGATTTGTTTTACTTAATACTCCACTTATTGAGTGAACACAAATATTATAAAAGAAAAAGTTTACGTGCGAAATTTCAAGCTATATGTCTTTTATCAACACGGCATAAAATACTGCGCTTGGTACACTGGTGTCCCAATACGCAGCAGTGGAATATCACTGTTGGTACACATATGGCCCAATACGCGGGGAACGTGTTATTTAATTTCTTTTATTTTCTTATGTATGATAATGCTGGTATCCAACTATCTGATACTTGCTAGTCTACTATCCAAGAAAGAACTTGAGGGCAACAAAACATGTTCTTATTTGCCACTATGAATTGTTCTGTTATATTAAGAATTTTTGACAGGCCCATGGCCTAATAAATGCTAAATCTTCAATTTTTTATTATAATTTAACTTGTTACATGAAAAAACCTTTTAATATCATGTCAAATTTCATGGTCATGAGTACTGAGTTTTCCTCTTAAAGTGAAAAATTGGGCAGAAGCTAGCCAGGAATTGGGCAAAAACACCCATGGATGATGGATCTAGATAATTTCACCTCTTTCAGTAAAATTTTCCTAATTTCTTTAGCTAAAAATAAGAAAAATTGTGCATTTATATCTGCAATTTTTTTTAAAATCACTATTAAACAATCACTTCTACACAAAATTTTAGAAAACTTCTGTCTGATATTTTAAATAGGGCTACCCACACCAACCAGCACCCGTAAATAATCATAATGGGCACTGGGCAGAATATAAAAAGAATTGTCAGTAAAAATGATTATTTTATTGTAGTTTCCAAAAATCATCTGCAGAAGTATAACAATTTTTGTATATCTGCATAAGAAATTTAGAAAGGGTTACAGAATGCCAGTCTGGAAAATTAGGCTGAGCTGCCAGCTGCCCACTGATGTGGAATATACCTATCTACCTTTCAAGCCGGGATCAGAGCTCTCCTGCCATTATCAGAGCCAGGAGACTCCTGCTTAATGAAATCATTGAAATGTCTCCCATGTATTTATTAATCAAACTGTACAATTGGCCATAAGATTTCCCATTTATTAATGGGAAAATTCCAATCTAGGCTGACTTCCAGGATGAATTCTGCTGGCAATGTGGTTATGTATCCTGAAAGTTGCTGGCATTGTTTTGGCCTTATAGCACAGCATAGTGATGTTGGCACTGAAGAATAGGCCTGATGTGACTTGTTGCTGATTCTTGTACTTTTCATGACTTGTCCACAGGAGATCAAGAACAGGTCCTTTGACCGTTTTTTTTCCAAACTGACTATAGTTTGAAATAGCTACTCAACTTACATTGGGTTTGATATTGTGCTAGGCATTTCAAGTCTGAACATATATTTCTTCATAGCCTTGTCTAGCCTGTTCTTGAACAAGGTATACTTGGAGCATCAACAATGCAATCGGGGAGGCGGTTCCACATGTTGGTGATTCGAAGCAAGAAGAAATGTTTTTGTGTAGATGAGTTGCTACAAAGTTTTTTAGTTTATTGCCATGGTCCCTGATGTTTGTTCTTGTTTCAAATTCTAGTAATCCTTCTGCAACCTTGAATAAACCATGAGTATGCTTGTGACTTCAATTAGGTCCCCACATTAATCTTTCTTCATGGGACTTGCCCTTCAAGCCTGGAATTATCCTTGTTGCACGTCTTTGAACACTCCCTACTAAATTTTTTACCTTTTCATGTTTCAGTGACCACACAGCATTTCCAAACTCTAGGTTTGGGCACACAACAGCAACAAACAGCAGCTTCATTGCTTATGCATCTAAGAACTTTTAAGAATGTCTGATCAGTCCAAGAAGTTTGTTAGATTTATTAGCTTGCATTTCAATATGCTTAGAAAATTTCAGATCCTTGTATTGACTTGAACTCTCAAATCTGTTTCCAACTGGACTTTTTGATCAATATCAATTATATACATATCATAGCCTTGTTAACTCATTTGCCAAAGTCTGCACCCTGGAAATGAACATCTCAATTTGGTAAAAACAAGATCTCTTTTTTCATAGCCTTAATGATGAAGGCTAGAAATGTATGTACATAAATTGTTTTACTGTTTTGTATCCATTGCTGCTGCATACCATACGTGGCTGGATGAGCTCCTAATGACGTTGCCTCCTAATCAAATGCTGACTTGTGAGCAGCTGCTCTATAATTTTCAGCGAGTTTAATTTCTGCAATATATTTGATCATTATCTGATGCTTTTGAAGAAGAAGTGATTTTTGCATTTTGAATTTACAATGTCGTAGACAAATATAATAAACAATTTAAATTATCACAAAATACTATGTATTTTTCAGAGTAAGTAGTAAAAGTGAAAAATGACTGCTTTAAAAATTAAAAATAAATCAATACTCAGGACAAACATGGTCACAATGTATTTGTTATATTGGAAATGCAATGCAATACTAGGACAATAGAATACTATTGCCAATCTGAGCCAAACATCTCGAATTATAGCAGGATTTCTAAATATAATATCAGTTTGTATGGTACTGGAATCAATGCTTTTCAGCAAAATTTCAGTTCATATCAAAAGTTTATTTTTCTTATTTGCTTGACCTTAATTTACTTGCTTTCACAGCTCATTTTGAGTATTCAATCACATAGTTCTAATTAATTTCAATATGAATTACGTATATAACTAGGTATTGATTGCAATGAGAGAAGGCAAGTGAAAGCATTCAGCTGATGCAATTCTGAATGACACTCTTTTCTTCCCACTTTGAACTGTATGCAGATTTCACAACTGTAATTGTGCTCGCAGAGTTTAATTCTGATTCAATCTTTATTTTATTAATCCAGCAGAATTAGTGGCATTTTTGTAGCAAAACAGCAAGTAAGAGAGCTTGTTATAGATACCAACTAATTTATGTTATTGTGTGTTTTACACATAGGCTGGCTGTGAGACAATATAGGTACCTATACTTTTGATGCATTTATTCATGACACCAAGCACAATTTTTCTTTGAATGATTGTAATGATGCATGAACATTGTCCTATTCTGTACCTAGAACTCATTTGATGCCATCAGTTTTTTTTTACGTCTCTGACTCGATGATAATTAATGTGGTAATTATGCTTATTATGATGATTTATCCTAAGTCTTAATTCATCAATTATACCAATTTATACCTTTTTACAGATATTGTTGACAATTCATTTTCAAAGTATCTTGTATAGAAAATTCTGTATATGAAGATAAAATGGAGGTAGAAGAGCTCAATAAATATTTTGACAGTTGTATCCACAAAATCACAAACCACCACAAGATTCTCCGCTTGGATGGATTAACCGAGTACCACGATGCACTTTCTGATCACTATCCACTTTATGATACTTCAGAATTTTCATATGAAAACCGGCTCCTCTTGGATATAAAAATATTGACTGGAACTCTTGCTGATGAATCAGAAATGAATAGGCTGAAGGTTACTGAAATTTTTGTTAAATATCTGGAAAAGAATGCTGTCACAGAAAGTCATTTAATTTATATCACAACAGCCATTCATTCAAGAATTTGTCAGAATTGTGAAGAAAGTGAAGATGTCCGTAAAGAGCTTTTAGTTGTCATCAAGTTAATCATAAATAAATTTGGCATGTCCATATTGCCATATAAAGATGATTTGTCCTCTATCTTTCTACAAATGCTCACTGAAAAATCTCCAGACAATCTGAAAGTTACCTGTGAGTGCATAACTGCCTTTTTTAATACTCTCAAAGCTAGAGCTGAATGCAATCCTGACTTGATCAAAGGTTTGAAGAAAGTTTCATTTCATCAACGCTATAGAGTTCGGGAAGCTGCACTGGTGGCACTTGGTGAGTACCTACGGTATTTGAATATTTAGCCAGCACATGGACTAGCATGTTGCTTTGTCCATGAAATCATGTTTAAATTTACCTACTCAGTTGTTTTTGCATAAAATTTTAGGTTGTATATTCTATTCATGATGTGTGACATTTGTCAAAATTTTATTAAAAGCAAAGTGAAACTTATTAACAAGTTCATGGCATACCTATATCAGGCTAACATGCTTTTTACATTCTTCACTACAAATCCTAAATATCTTCAGGTAACCTTATGTATTATTTTCATACAGGGTACATTGGAACATGGAGCAGCAGCAATAATATCACCGAGGTCATGCAGTGTATGGCGCAGCACTCTGACGACATCCCACACATCCGTATTGCCATTATCAAGATAACAGCAAAAATTTCCATGGAAATGCTTGATAGATACTCATTCTGGCACTATATTCTTCCTTGCTTATTGCTATGGTGAGATATTCAGATTCTTCAAACTTAGGAAATTTGAAACAAATTCTTCGAACTTTGTTCACTTATGAAATTTGGAGGTGCTAGTTCTGTTTACAATGTATCGAATTAATTTTACATAGATCACATAGGTACTTGTATTGCAGAAGAAAGAACTGAATATCACCAAATTTAAATATCCCCATACCCCCCTTAATAATGTGTCATTTTTGATAAATTTTATTTGTTTTTAATGTTCAGGCTAAGAGACTCAGATCCAGGCACTCGAGAAGCTGCTGTACAGCAATTCAGTGCCGTGGGCGAGCAATACATCAAGGAGAATGAGGAAGCCTTGCAGCAAGAGCTACAATATGACGTGCCACCTGCCAGATACCCTCCCAATTGTGGTCCGTTTATTCATATATTATCTATAATATGTGTGAGGTATTTTTCTGATTAGCCGCTGTCTAATTATTCCAATTTATTTCTTTAATTGAAAATATTTTTTCTGGTTGTTTGGTTTATGTAGTCTGCATCTCATTTTTTCAATAATTTATTTCACTTGATAGAAACTATTTCATGTAAGCACCACACATGTAATTAAGCTCAAATTTAAAGGAATTCTTCATTATATTTTCATTTTTCTCTAAGCATAACTATTTATTACTATCACAAACACAAGTAAATTACTATAGAATGGAGCGACATGCATTAATTTTATTAGTATTAAACTAAATCACTCACCATTGCCGTGTGCCTCAGTTATGTTTGGCATGGTAGAAGCTTACTCCAAATGTTAAACACAAAACATCTGTTCCAGGGGACCGCCTGAACTTGGGTTGCCGTATACTAGCTCAAAATGTCCTCCACAAACTCTTACCTGGTATAGCCGGCGACCTGCAAGACTGGCAAAGCTGCAGCAGAGTGGCCACGATGAAGCTCTTATCAGCCTTGGTCTTAATGGGCGAACTTAAGCTCCAGCAATACGCCCAGTCTATAATTACGTTGCTGAGCCGTGCTCTGAAAGACTCCGAGGTCCAGGTTGTTGCAGAGGTCAGTGCCTGCCTAATGTGGATGTGTTCCTTACAAATATCATGAAAGGTAAATCCAGTAGCTGTTTTTAGCGCATTTTCTCATTTATGAAGAAAATGCACTATTGTGCTCGCCATGTCCGTCTGTCCGTCCGTTCGTCTGTCTGTCCATCCGTGACTTCATGTTTTCGTCGACGAGAAAATGCGCTCTCTGTCACTCACTGCAGGGAGTACTGAGTTATATTTTTAAAGTTTTGTCATTTACAAATATGTTTTGATTAATAACAGTCAATGTTCTTCCAGTTCTGTTTTTTACTTGAGCATATTCAAATATTGACAGGTACTCCACATAACTCTTACTAAATGTCACAATTGAAGTAAAATTAAATTTGGTGTGTGCACATCATTTAAGATTTACTGTGTTATTTAAAATAGTATGAATATATTCACCTACTTCTCATTTACCATGTAGAATAGTCGAATGATATTTCATGAATAATGAGCTTTACTGCAGTAGTCGAGGTGTGAGAATGATAACACACTAGTGCTATCGTTCTATCATCTCCTAGTACTCTTTCACCTCACTGTTCATCATTTTAGATTTTTTATTAAGTATGATAAATGACGCGTTTTCCGGGCCACCCTTTGTGTCCAACCTCAGTAGTTTATTCGGTACCATAATAAGTACAATGAACTTGTTCCATGATGATGTACTGACACAGAAGTACGAGTCGAATTAATTATTCACTTAACGCCTTGATCCTTCCGGTGCTCTAATTACTGGAGCACCAGAAGCTCGAGTAATTAGAGCTTCTGGCTCTAATAAAAGTTTTAGTAAATGTATAGATAGGTGATCACTTGTAAATGATCAGCAAATTCAACTTCATTATTCATATCATACCGGTACTCGGTAGCGTCCTGGGTGTTGTACTATCTCTCTCCGGAAAATAGCATGTGCGAAGATTGGTGCTCTCATTTAGATTGTTTATTTTATTATGGACGTTTATTTAACATTTTTCACTCAATGAGCAGGCGTGTGTTTGTGCCGAAAATCTTGGCTACTTTCTGTTGCCCGACGCATCGATGCCAGTTGCTATTGATATACTGCGGTCAAGCAGTGAGATCCCAAACAACAGATCCGGAAAAATTCTTCAGCTTCTCTGCATAGGATGCCTGTCTTCTGAGCTGTCGTCCCATGTCCCTGACATTGCATCGGCTATAACGAACTCTCCGTCGTTGCTGTGTTCTGATGTCGTTGTACAGGACGATATTCTTGCCCTCGTACAACTGTTGCTTCATAAAGAATGTGTTCATTGCCAAGAATCGTGCATTAAAAAGTATCGTCTTTCAGAAAAATCGCAGTGTTTGATTGAAGTGCAGAAAATTGAATCTATAGATCATGGTAAAATTGAGCTGGATGCGATGAAGTGTACTACACTTGACGAAAATTCCGAAAGTGGAACCGAAAGAGAATCGCAAAGCGAAATTATTGAGATGAATGGAGAGACTACATTAACTGATATCGAATCTGGGTTAGAAGAAGCTTGCCTTGATGGAACCCCTGCTACCAAAAATACTGTAGAAAGGAGTGCTGCTGGGAACGTTTTGCGAGATATTGAAATGAAAGGATCTTCACATTCTCCAAATAATACTTCTACTGAAAACGAAAGCTCTCGCGATGAATTATCTAATTCTAGTCTTGGTGATCGCATTGTTGGGAATAAAAGTCTAGTTGAAGAAATTTCTGATAAATACGGTACAGAAATTGACGGTCAAACAGATGCTTCTTTGCCGTGTTTAAATTTTTTGAAAATCTTGCTTTGCGTCGTTGGGTCGAACTTGTGTCACGTCAACGTAGCAAAAGCTCGCGAGATTCTTCATTTACTTGCGGAGGCTTGCGTAAAAGATACCATGAGTCACGACCCACCAAGTTTATCTACTGAAACTGGAAAGAAACCTGCCTCCTCTGAAGTGGTTCTTCCCACTGAAAGATCTCACCGTGACGCGAATTTCGTTTCTTCCGTTACAAATTCCAATGGTGTAAATCAGCCTATGGATATTAATCGATCAGCATCATCTTCAACGGACTCCAGTAATTTATCATCAGTCGAATTATTTATCGAACGTCACGCCAGTGCTCTCCTGGATGAATTTTTGGAAACTTGTGAAATTTGGACTCCGGAAGATCCGTGTTTCCTCTTGGCCAGCGCCTTCTTCCAGCTTTCCGGTAAGTCTACTGCTTTAGAAATAGAGAAGGTTATCTCTAAAATTATTATGTAACTGTAATTTCCGCCTAGTCTCAGTTTTATGCAAAAGAAACAGTGATGTCCAAAGTTCGTTCTTCTGGTTTAAATATTTTGATCTGATACTATATTATATACTGATACTATATATTGCAGCTAATTAGTCTTAGGTCATTTATTTCTGCCTAAATTTCCTGCATCACATTCGCTCTCGTAGCTTTCCGTCTACCACTTCGCATTTATTTATTTTTTAATTCCCACCTGCAGCCTTTCATCTCACAGCGTCATAACATAACATAACATATAGTGATGTCGGCGCTGAAGTGTAGGCCTGAGTTGGCCTGTCGCCGATTCTTGAACTTTTCGTGCCTTGTTCACAGAAGATATAAAATCGTGTCATTTGACCGGATATTTTCAAGACTGGCGATAGTTTGAAATAGCTACTACCAGACTTCCACCGTTATATATTATAATATAATATATAATATGTAAATATATAAAACTTTTATAAATAACATTTATAAAAAAAAATTATTTTTCGTAGCCTTAGATTTTGCCACGTGGCAGGACGATGATGGTGATTTCTTGCCTTAATATCTTGTGTCATTATGATTGCAAGCGGCTCTCTATTCACTTTTTAATAACATATTGAAAGTCCTCATCAATTAATTTTAATCTGTCTTCGCGGTTCCCTCATCTTAAGTTTAATTACCACGCCTTATGTCGTACCTCGGAAGAATAACATGTGAACGAATGATAATTTTGTTCTTACAAGGGTTTCAGGCATGGTTGAACAATATAAGGTTAACCCATGAGGATTTCCGTCTTTCAGTTCAGCTTTCTTGTTACGTCACTGAAATCGAGAAACGTAAACAATCCCGTCATTCCCATAACGGATTGGTTGACTGGTTTGATCGCATTTCACTAAATGGTTAATGCCCGTGACGTCACTGAGATCAGTGACGTCACAGACGCAAAATCACAGACGTCACAGACGAACAACGAACTACAGACGCAAAAATGAGCTTCTCGTGGGTCAACCTTATACTAGTTCAACAACGGTTTTTGGGTGACTCAATGTTTATCTTTCTGCCATTTCAAACTCTACTGTAACTACATACTATGCAACCATTGCTTCTATACGCCAATTTTTTTAATTTCTACCCTCACGTGCAGGTGGCAGGACGATGATGGCTCACCAGACGCGCGTGTGTCGTGTTTACTGTCAGGCGTTCAGAGCAAAAGCGGACAGCCTGGTCCTCGTACGGCTCTTGGGCGTCTTGGATGGCAGCCTCAGCCTCCCCGGCGGCCAACATCGTCTTGCTTTCATTGCACAAATGCTTCGTGGTTAGAGTTCCAAATTTATTTTGCTAAGAATAAAAAAATGTTAAAAATAAGATTTTTATTGATTATTTTTTCTGCATCAAAGCAAAATCAAACGGAAAGCAACATTTCACTTTAGATCGAAATGAACATTTTAAAATGTATCACCCACGCGACGTCTAAAAAAGCAACGTTAGTACGGTATTCTCCTCATAGCTCACTCGGTCTACATTTACATTTTCAGAAAGAAGTTTGAGGATAAGGAACAATTTTTGGAATTCATAACTTTTATGACATGTGTAAAAGCCGTCCCTGCATAAAACTTTTTTGCCCGTTTTCTACGATTTGACTGGGAATTAGAAGCATTGATAGTATTTTACTTGTGCTTAGTTTTCGATTTGACTGTAAATTGGAGTCATGGAATCTTTTTTTTTTATTTGACTGTTTGTTTACTGCAAATTAGAGTCATTGAATCTAAATTTCTTGAACGTTGAATTGAGTCTCTTGAACGTTAAAGTAAATAAGAATCATTGAATTTTTTTCTTTTACATATTTTCAGATTTTACAGTATACTAAAGGCTTTGACTAATTTTTTGCGCGCCCACAGACTGGATGTGCGAGCTGCTGACGAGCGGGCGGCGCTCTCGAGAAGCGCAGCTGCTGAGGAGCGGCGCCCTCGAGACCCTCAGCAACGCCCTCGCCGCCGCCACCGCCGCCGCCGAGGGTAGAAGTCATCCAGAACATCCGTCAGCTTCTAAACCAGATCCTGTACACGAGTCTTTAATGCTCGGTAATTATTCGTTGTACGAGGTAGCCAATGTATTAATGATGTTTCATAGTTATTTAGATTTATCCCCAGTTTCTATAGAAAAAAAAACAATCATTATTGTTCTGTAATTATTCGTTGTACGAGGTAGCCACTGTATTGATGGCAGATCATAATTAATTAGATTCTGTTTCAACTTTATCGACGACCTGATTGGGATTAATTTTACAGAAGGATCCTCCGCGGAATGAAAGGATGAACAATCATTGGTTCAATAATTCGACCATTATCGTAATTGATCCTAATTCATAGTAATTTTCATTGATACAAGCATTGACTTGCATTTTATTTCCACCGATGCAATTTTGTGCTTTGAATATTTTTATACTCGTTATTTATAGTCGATTATGTTCACTCTATTTAATGCTGGAATTCTCATCAGCGTTGCGGCCGGTCCTGGAGGCAGTACCCGGGATGCTGTACGATGATTTACTGGACACCCGAGTTCATGCCTTGCGACTGGTGCAATGCATTGCTCTGCACTACAACGGTGCACTGCACCAACACTGCGCTCTCACTGCACTCGCTAAAAGTAATATATTTTTTAAGGAGAGCTCATAGAACTTTTCAGGCACCTTGCCGCGAACACGATTGATGTTTTTGTAGTTCTGAAAATGTGTATAATTTACACGCATTTTGGCCCCAGCATTGCTTTGTTGAATTTATGTTCGTAAAATCTAAGAAATATTGTTATTTATTCCAATTGTTGTCAATTGAAATCTATAACAATATTAAAAGTCACCTATTCAATTTCAATTCAGTAGGTGAATTGTATTGTGAATTTACTTTAACTTCTGTGGGTCGGTAAAATGAAACTGTTATCTCCGCAGGTGTGCTGGAGCGACTTGACGACAAAGTGAGACACGTTCGCCTCCTGGCCGCTAGTGCACTTTGTGCTCTGCTGTCATATGCCAATCAATTTAATAACTCTGAGGAAAGTAATTCCTCTGGTGAATACTCAAGAAGTATTGAGGAAATATCAAACGCCTCTCAATATAATGACCAAGGAAATAGCGGGTTGCCCAACGAACCTGTAAATGAAAGTATGGAAAATGTAGACCTTGGCATAACTTTGAGTGATCACTGCAACGGAAAGTGCAGCTTAGGAGAAGTAGACCAAGAAATAAATGCGAGAAATGCAAATTCCAAGGACATGGAGAGCATGAATAGCTCGGTAACTTTGAAGGGAAGCGACGGTGTCGCCGGACAACGACTTGCCAAGAACTACGCTGAATTTTGGCAGGAAATTGAAAAATCTTTGGATCGCTTGGCTATTTTTCTCGATGATCCTGATGATGTCTTGGCATTTGGGGTCGCCGGTGAGAATGAACAAAATAAATCAAAATCAAGACCTAATTTTAAATGCTTGTTTAGTTCTTAACGTATCTAATATTTAATTTTTTGTCTCTTGTTCCCTTGTAACATTTGAGACTAAATTATTTCGATTCTTTGCCTACTGTAGATTTCTCTGATAAATGTAAGACAAAATGGTAATTTTATTTCTTGAAATTTTATCTTAATTTTGATACTTAACCAAAATTTCTACTCTATTATTACGTCTCAAATCACTGATTAATAAATGCCCCGTCTCCTCAGAGTGCTTCAAGAATCTGCCTTTCAAGGAGTCTGTGACTGCAGCTCTGCAGAATCTGCAGCAGAGGCAGCACATCACGAGACACTGTCCCCTCATCGCAGCAGAGCTGCTCGCAAAAATTACATGAAGTCGATTTCATTAGTGACTACATCACATGAAAAAAGTTCATTACAGTTTATATGAATTGTACCTAGAAGTTTAGCACAGCACTGCCGCACGGTACAAAGTAGATACATTTTTTTCTTGCCTAGTAGATATTGTCTATGCAATAAACGAAGATAATATGTAGAAAAACTGACGAACGTTCTGTGTTACCAACAGTGCTAGCCACCAAACGTTTATTGGTTTGGACTGTTCTTCAATTAATGCAGTTCGAATAACATTGAATGATGCGTCTACTTTGACAACCAATAATGTACAAGCATTAATCATTTAACGTGGCACAGACGTAAACTATTATAACGCAGGCTCTAACGCTCTACGGTATGCAACCATAAAGCATTAATAATGCAATGAACTCAAGGCCTGATTATGCAATGACTTTTCGTGATTATGTAATGACTTTTCGTAATAAAACGTAACGTTTAGTGATGCCCAGACGCAGAGTTTTGTGATGCACAGACGCAGAGTTTAGTGATGCACAGATGCAGAGTTTAGTGATGCCCAGACGCAGAGTTTAGTGATGCACAGATGCAGAGGTTAGTGATGCACAGACGCAGCGTTTAGTGGTGCACAGACGCAGCGTTTAGTGACGCACAGACGTTTTGTAGTGACGCACAAAGAAAACGAGATATTTTAGACGCGATTGTGGTCTTTACCACTTGTTACCAGACCCCGGAAAATACCGGATTACTTCCATGCGTGACGCTGCTGTGCTACTGCTGCTGGTCTACACTAGTGTCATTAGGTTGCGTTTTTGACCGATGAATTTTTCGCTTGCGGAAAAAAAATTTTATTAAAACTGCCAAACCTTCTCGAAATTCATGACAATGCAGACTCTGATGAAAATAACTTTGTAGGAGTTAACCTTAAGATATTTTTTAATATGCATGCTGTAATATCTCTTATTTTCGTAGATCGCCTTGTTTGTGACTCGAAAGTCAGTGGCATATATCAGTCATAGAAGAAAATCTATTTCGTTTTCAACAGCAGCGTTTGTTTACGAATTAGATAATTTATGCGTTGGTCAGTTTACTTGGTCCAGCGCATGCTATTCTACGATGTGCTGTATTTTTACCTTATTGAATTACCGTACTTTTTCACCGGTATTCATTGTAGCCTTCGTATAAAATACGTTTGGAAATTAGCCTCGAAACTTGAATAAATCTTTATTAAATCAAGTCGTTTGATGAAACCCACAGTGAAGTACTTAAGTAAAGTAAATCATTCGCGTTAATTAGACTTCAAAACTCGTCAAAAGTTAGAATTTTTTTCGAAAAGTAATTCACTACATCAAATTTTCCAACATAAGTCAGGTGTGAATTTGTTTTTGATCTGTTGGCATCCGTAAATGAGAAAGACGCATACTCAAGCTTTTTCAATTAGTAAATCTGCCTGCTAATTTCACGCTCACAAGGACTATATTTATGCTATTGAATTCAAGGAAGGATGGCGGCATAAGTCTCGCCTGATTTTTGAAGTATTAGTACATGAGGCTAACTGGTCACGCACTTTCATGACCTTTACATACTCGTTAAAGTTGAAGTTTCGATCCAAATATAGTTCTGTCTTCCTAGCCATGTGCCACACTGGCAATCGTTAAGCTGGGTGAAATGACGTACTAGTGTCTATAGGTATCTCATCTCAGCTTCCTCTTCCCTAACTTTCATCAGCATTTAAGATCAAAAGGCCACGACAGTGTAAAAATCTTCTAATTTCCCCATTCAACCACATCCGGCTTCCGCATAGTTCCTTTGAAAATCAATAAAATTAACAAGAATATTGCAAAATCTGGCATTAAATTTTGTTAAATATCTTCTCACTTCTCCGCAGAGCGCACACTACTTCCTGCTCCGAGTCTCGGCCAAAGTTAAGTTTTCTTGACGTGACATGTACGGACGACAGGAGCGCAGCCGTGGGTCACAAAATTGACTCGTAAACAGGCCCTGGGCCTAACGCCAACCATCAGCATGTAATATCTACACATAGCCTCAGATCAATGAGCTGTGGGTAACTCCGGCTAACAGTAAATCCGCTTTGCACAACACAGCCACTGCTCCACAGCGCCGGAGCGCAACAGGCACTACCGCAACAGAGGCGCAGCCTCGCAGGTTAGGTTAGGTTACGTTAGGAGTAGCCTGTTGCGGTAGGGCCTGTTGCGCTCCGGCCTGTGACTGAACGGCGCTGTTGTGGTGGGCCTTTTGTGTCGAAAGCCGTGAAGATGCCCGGTTGCGTTACGCTCGGTAAGGTATATGAATCGCACTGTGGACTTGGGCTATGCTGACCTCTAGCTATCCACCCCGGACGACCATTCCCAGTTCGTAAGTGCTTCTAAATACCAACTTTTTTGTCCTTGTTAATCAAATATCTATCGTTGTACAGATGTCCTCCTGTGGTGGAATAGAGTTGCGATCAGGTGTGTGGCCATTTAACTCCCAATTTTTTTTACATATTCGGCTCGCTCGCGATAGTGCTCTTCAGAAGTAACTCTGGCAGCGTCTGGTAGTTGGTACTTGGTATTACAAGTATGCAACACCGACTGGCGAAGCCGTCAACACGGAGTAGTGGCAGAATTTGCCTCATTAACAAATATGGCCAATTTTAATTAATCTGTAGAAAGTAACGTAGTCATTCTGTACGTATGATCATTGGCCAACGAGTTCAAGAAGTAAATCGTCTCGTTTTGGCATCCGGAATAAGGTAAGAAACGGGTCGCCAAGTGCAAGCTAAAAGTTGGCCTAACTATTTAAAAAGTATCAATTGCCGTAATTTTATTGGTTTAACTGCATTCGCTTTCCCGTATTCGCTTTCTGCATAGATGAATTAAATAAAATAAGAGCAACATTGACATGCATCGCTGCAATAGGCTGTTTTTGCAAAATTATGTAGGCCATAATACAAAATGACGAGATGCATACATTGCTATCTGCGCTGAATTTCACCATTAATCTCCATAAATCAGTCAGTGACAATATCAGTAAATTATTTCACTCTGCTATTCATTCATTTCATTCACAGTTGTTCCTCCTATCGGTTTGTTGCACAAGCTTTCCATCGCCCTCGATAGATAACAGTGCTGTGGGCCACTTCATTTTTGGGAACGATGTTATTTCCTATGTCCATTGTCTCTCTTATTAATTCTTTGACAATCAAAGTTACCCTCGCTACCTGCGCCTTGTGTTACGAATGTCATTATTTATAGACTGTTGATGAACACGTAAAAGTAAGGTTAAACATCTTGACAGGTGACAGAAACTTTCGTTGCTATGCCCTCGGCTACCAATAGTGGCAACGATATTTAATCCACAAGCTGATTGAACGTTAACTATTTGACTAATGATCTTGTTACCAAATCATACTCGACGGTTGATGTATTGATGTATTTGTGGGCAAATAGCGCAGGGTTATTGCAACTTGATACTTAGCATAAATTCGGGGATGATACGTGCGATTGGCAGTTTAAGTTTGAAACTTGAATGATGGTTGGCTCGTGGATTCAGGATAAACCCAACATCTGTGAGCATCTTATTCATGACGATTCTACGTACACCATTTCCGTTAATGTGTATCCATTATAATGCCCACCTCTGCCATGTATGAAGAAGGGATTTTAAAGTTTCTTCAAAATCTGAGTACAAAATCTTAAATAACGATTTTACCAGTATTTCACCATCAATTATATAATTTATATGAATTTTGATGGCTAGTTAGACACACCTACGATCGTCATAATTTCGTTTAGATTTGAATCTTTCCCAGTGCCAGAGACATTATACGCTATGCAGGTACGTGTTTCCCACTGATAATAACGCTTTGCTTTTAACAAACAAAATTTCGTCACCGCATTACTTTAAAAGTAGCTATCGAAATACACATCTGTATCTACTTGTTATGTCTGTGAGCTGAACCCTGAGCGAGTTGTAACCATGATACCCGATATTGCGTCGGAATAAAAAATAATTGCAAAGTTCGTCTTAATTAAGAACCGCTCACACCAGCACCGCTAGCCTCCACACGGATTCATCCCATTACTAATCATATCAATGATATCATCCTTAATTCTTATTACCAACCTAACCTTCATTACTGCGGTCTCTGCCCATTACTAACCATCATATTTTTTTATCACTAACCTAACCATCATTACTGTTGTCTCTTTTCATTACCAATCATTATCCCACTTCTTATCACCAATCGAACCATCATCACCTAGCTCGGCATCTTCCTATTTCCAACCATTATCCCCTAAATTATCCACCGAACCTTCGTTCCCACGTTCGCATGCGGTGTCAATTAATTCGCTGCAGGCAACAGCTAGGTGCTGATCACTGAACGATGACACCAATTATATTTCAGGTGTATATACATATACGTATAAATGTAGTCCTTGTCTGATAAATACATTTTTATACTGCTCTGCTTCATATATGCTGATGTAATTTAAATTTAAATATTTTAAGCGCATTTTCTCATTTATGGAAAAAAGGCGCTATTGTGCTCGCCATGTCCATCCGTCCGTCTGTCCGTCTGTCTGTCCGTCCGTCCGTGACTTCACGTTTTCGTCGACGAGAAAATGCGCTCTCTGTCACTCACTGCAGTGAGTACTGAGTTATATTTTTTTATCGTTTGAAATGGTTGTTACCAAGAGAGCAAAATGACGCAGCTAGCAGGATCAGCGGCTGCTCCTGAGTTTCAAACGCTCGAAAGTTTTAAGAGCGGCAGCTTGTAGTCTCTCCTGTAAAGTTTTCATCGAAATGTTACAGCACAATTTACGAAGATATGGGAGCACAAATGAAGACATTTTAGGACTGAAGCTCTCAAAAGAAATCTCGTCGAGCTTCAAAAACTTATCTGAACTTTGGGAGCACGAGTGTCTATTCACACGTAGCAAACATTTGTGATGTTCATATTGGGTTTTCAGCTCTATTGATCATTAGAAGATCGTCCATAATCTTTGATTCTTCAAGCAAATCTCACATTCGTGACAATCATCAGGGCTTTCATCTGAAATCTACATGCATGCGCATGACAGCGTATTTTGCTTATAGGGAATTTGAGAATTAAGCGATTCCTGACGGATGATTTAGGCCAATGGTGAGCTACTTTTATTTCACAGCAGATCATAAATCTTTCGTGGTAAGAAAATTTAAGATTAAATTTAAAAAAACTTCTTTGACATATCACAATTTTCAGTTTTAAACTGTGCAGACGTCGATCTAATGAAGTTTGTTACTGCATCGAAAATATCCTGTCACCACAAGTAACTATCCCTGCTTCGCTAATAAGCCAGGCAAGCCCTCGCTTAATGGGCATCGGCGCGCCAGATAATAAAATCTAATTTCAGCGTCGCAAAGCGCGTGTGTTAAGAAAGCTCATTTACCTTTTAAATTTTTTTCTAGCTGGAATGGTGACGCTTTGATGACTTAGGAAAAACGCCCACGTTATTACATTGATAGCCGAGCAGATCCGGAAGTCATCTTGATTGTTTATTCCGTTGAGTTTTTATGTAGAGCTTTGTCTCGCTAACGAGAGATCGGTCAATACCACGCGCCTTGTTACGCGAGCCGCTGCTAGCGCTCTCCGCAAATCCAATTATTTTCGTCTTCGCAATTCCGACGTCACAAACAAACATCGCAAAATTAACCGCTTGCTATACAATGGCTTCAAGTTAACGCTTTACATCGTTACCGCCGTAAATGAAATGCTAGCAGACGGCCGTGGAACTGATTTGCCGACGCGCCGAATGTCGTTTCGTTGCGTGAGTCTTGGGCTCAGTTTATAACCTCATTGTAAGACAACTTTGAATTGCATCACAAAATATGGATAATCTATCTCACTAGCTGAAATAAATGTGAAAAAATATTAGATTTTACTCCAAAAAATATCAAAGCATAGAAAAATGTCTCAATGTAAACTTGTAATATACGGTTTAGTAATTAAAAATGAGGTATGGTTCCGAGTTCAGTTTGGTGAACAGGTTTTACGCGTGAACAATGTGTCGTACAGTTTGCAGCCAAGACACTTCACTTGCACGAGCCATCGTTCAGCAAAGTCTACGGACTTTCCTCGTACATTCTCATTAGCGCACCTGCCACTTAAGCTTCGCTGCTGTTCAAAGAGAACAAATGATAAATGGTGCCGTAGGAATTTCGTATCTGCCGTTACTATCGATAAATG